CACTTTTCAGGTCTGGGGCGGTCGGGGTGCTGCTCGCTCGGCATTTGCGCCCTCCCCATGTGTCAGCATCACGGCGGGCCTGGGACCTGCCCCGGTACCGCCACGTTATGCCCCTCCAAAGTCACCTGCCAGGGGCAAACGGTCCGGGAGCAGCTCCAGCCCCGGGTGACAGAAACCCCCTTTGCTGCTGTTGGAGCGTGGGCTGGGCAGGCTGTCTCTGCAGATAACTCGTGTCGGTCGTGGCACAGGAAAGCCTGACACTGGGGGGGGGTTTGGGGAGCGAGTGCTGCCCCTCATTGCGGGGTGCATATACATTGCGCAGGTTTTTAAGGTGACCCCACACGAGGGGGAGGGCTGGCGGAGGAGAGCAGATCTGTGGCAGGGGGAGCAGCTCTCAGCAAGGCTTTTTTTGGGCAGAAAGCAGTTAATATCTTCAGAGCCTGGCTGGAGCCCAGGTTCAGGGTGAAGCGTGTGTGGATGGGATGGTCTTGGCAGCTGCATTTTCTTGCTCAAACTTCCCCTGTTTTGCTGACACGCAGAAGTTCAGCAGCGTTCCGGGCTGTTGGCGTGTTGGCTTCGCGGGTGGCTGGGGGCACCCGTGTGCTGGTGCCCGGCAGCTTTGGGAAGGAGGGGTGTCACGGGGACGGGGTCCAATGCAAACTTCCCGGGATGGAGCCCTGAACCTGTGGGTGCCCCTTGTCCTTTCCTCCTGACACAGCTCCAGCGGCGAAGGCCCCCGGGAAGCAGCGTGTGAGCGGGTTCCCCAGCCGGAGCAGCGAGGTGCCGGGGTGCCTGGCAATACCGGCTCTGCGGGGTGGGGCAGGGACACGGCAAACGCTGCCAGCCGAGCCCGGCGGCAGCCCTGCCTCGTTCCTCCCGGCGCTGCCAGGGAGCCCTGCACCGCCGCCGGCGGCCGCCTTTGGCTGCACCCCAGCGTCGCCGAAGCAGCACCAGGGTTGGGGCCGAGCTGGGCCTGACCCAGCTGCAACAGCTTGTGCTGGTGGGTCCTGGGCCAATGGTCGGGGTCTGTGTGGTGCACAGCCCCGCGTGACCCTTCTCTTAGCCTGACTCGAGGTGTTTGGCAAACGGCTCTAAAAGCAGCAAGCCGAAGGGGAGGACGTGACGTTGGGGACGTTGCTGCAGGCACAGCCCAGGGTGGGCCATTGCTGCTGCTGCTTCTGCAGCGACTTCTTCTGAGGGTGGGAGTGGGGTTTATGGTAACGTCTGGGATGTGTCCAGCAGAAGTAACGAGGGCTCGGCCACCAGAGACCTCATTTCAGCTCCCAGCGAGGCAAGCACTTTCTGGGAACCGCCGATGAAATGTGCTGAGCAGATCTGAAGCGTGGGGTTAGCGGGGGTGCAGGGGAAGGCGATGCTTGGGTCAGGGCGCAGGGAGCCAGCACCGGTGCAGGTGTGGGACAGTGAAACGCTGGGGTTGGAGCAGCAAATGTGGTGGGAAAAGC